AAAGACAGTATAATTGGCTCCAAAACCTCATTCAAATTATTAAGGCCCCAATATTACTTGGATTTGGGGTTTGGGGTTTAGGGTTTGCATTGTAGGAGCGCTGACAAAGTTGGTTCAAGAGAGGCCGAATTCCACCCTAGGCTCCAGATGATGAGAGAACAGAGTCTAAAGTTTCGGGAGTAGGGCACGGTCAGGTGCACTGTTGCTTGTGTCTAACCATGCACAGTACGCTGGCGAGTGGCAGAGGGTGAGGGAGAGCCTAGGGAGAGGAACAGGTAGGGGGAGAGGGAGAGGAAGAGGCAGAGGGGGAGGGAGTGGGAGAAGTTTGCGGATTGAGGGTTTAGGGTTTAGGGGTTTCAGCTTGAGGGGAAGTGTCGAAAGGACCTCCATGCAGATGTGCCCGTGAAAGAAGTCGCCGATCAGCAGCTGGGCAATAGTCTCCAGTTACAGTCTCTTTGTTAAGTCTACATGGGAGTTTCCGAAAATAGGGGGCCCTGATCTAGTACCCGAATAATAGGATACTCAAACAAAGCCGCTTTGTGTTTTACAACCGGCTGGGCTTTCAAGCTGTGACTGGCTTCGCCGGTGCAGTCCAACAAGAATCCAAGGCCCTGATTACTAACCACGTGCGATGGTAGGGTTGAGTTCATCATTGCGAATCGTGGCTTCACCTTGGGGAACTGCCGGTTGCTGCCCTAAACCCCTGAAACCTCATCCGCTGCCCAACCCCAAACCCCATACTTGCACCATCGTATACCCTACAGTACCCGTATGGAACCCTTGAAGAGACCCCAAGCCTCAGCTGCATGAACCCTCCTCCCGACACCAGTAACCGATACCCTTATGAACTTTAGGCCTGATGTCTGGATCCTAAGATTTCAATACCTTGTGGATTTTGTTTTTCTGTTCCAGGGATCTTAGCAAGACTTGTTGGGGTTCCTTCTGCGCTCTACGGAGAACATGAGCGCGGAGTAGCATTCGTTTCGCAAGATCGTATGCACATTGCACGTTTTTGTTACATGCTTGCATACCCGAACACTTGCACCTCACAGGAATCTCAAAAAAGGGAACCCTACAGTAACCCTAAACCCTAATACACCCTACGACATCCGAGGCTGTATAGCTACCACGATCCCGAGAACCCGGAGCCCGCATTGTTCTGTCCGGGTATTCTCGAGAGTTGCATTCGTTTGCCTTAAACGGCTTCATGATAACACCCCAAAGGGTTCCACTCATGCATGCAATTCTCGCTTATAAGAGTACTTGTCAGGGTTGTATGAGCTTGCCGTACATGGTTCTATGAGAGTACCTCAAAGCGTTCTCAATTCCCGGTAGCTTAGAGCGTTCTACAAGGGTACTTCGAAGATCGGAGCAGCTTCGATTGTTGAGTTCAGGGCTGAGTGTTTACTTTCCTCTGAGTTATTACAACAAGAGGGTGCAGGGCTTCAGGGTTTGGAGGTGTGCCTGCTTTGGATTTGGGCTTTGGGGATTTGGGCAATGTCGCAGGCACATGGTCACCTCCCACCTGAAGTTCGACACCGAAGACACACTTGTAATTGCTAACTTGGGTCCGGGGTTCCTGGATTGACCACCAGCATCTGGTCCGCATTCCCGACACAATCACATCTGCCCAAACCCTGAACCCTGAGCCCATGCCTTGGGCCCTCAAATCCTGAACCCACAAGCAGTAGGACTACTTCCAGGAGAAGTAGCTCGATTGCACTGAAACATGATCAGTCATCAGAGCAGCAGAAGAAATCCCATCGCAAATCTTGTCAGTTGAATCCAGAACACTGCACAAACTCAACAACCTGAATCCTAAGCCCGGTACGCCAAAGCTTCAGCTTCCAGGAGCGCAAGTTCATGGAGCTGCCCACTCCCGTCGTCAAAGTCTACTTCCCAATGGTCGACCTAGACGAAGAGGTGCTACGGTTTAGGGTTTGACGTGCAGGGTTTAGAGGAGCTGCCTTGCTACGGCTTGGGACTTGATGTTGAAAGGGGCTTTTTCAACAGAAGACCTGCAGATACTTCAGAGGGCTGGCAATCTTGCAAACATGCTAGACTATAGGACAGGTTACCCAAGAACCCGAATAAACTGCAACAAACCCTATACACCTTGACCCCAAACAACGTACCTTGTTGACGGGCTTATCTAGGGAAATCATAATCAGGACCCCTAGACAGGTCTAGGTAGGCCTGTGGGATATTTGATATGTTCCCTTATTGGGCTTAAAAGGACCCTATTTACGAATATTTTTCAGAGGCTTTAAAGGGCCAACCTAGAGGTAGGCTTTATGGTGTCCAGGTATACCCTTACTCGGAGGGTCGGGGGACTTAGTAACTGGACTTATAAGTACCACAACCCCAATGAGGGTCCCTTTTAGGGTACTTATAAGTCTACCTACTACCTACTTACTAAGTCTCCCGACCCTCCAAGTACACCCTTAGCCAAGAGCCTCAAAGCCCAAGCCGCAAATTGGGTGATTGTTTTCACATCTTTGGGTATTGAATCTTACGGAGTCGTTGAGTTTCTTACGGAGTCGTTGAGTTTCTTACGGAGTCATTGAGTTTATAGAGATTGATTTGTTTCGCTTTATTATTTTAAACTATTTATGTAAGCCCCTAAAAACAGGAGAATCGAAGTTTCGGCTCAGGAGCCCCAAAGCTACCTAGAGTCCCCATTGCAGTTCATTTTTGGGATCTTTACTATATAATTGGTTATTCATTTTTGGGATCTTTACTATATAGTTGGTTATTCATTTTTGTGATCTTTACTATATAACTGGTTATTCATTTTGGGGATCTTCACTATATAATTGGTTATTCATTTTTGGGATCTTTACTATATAAGTGGTTATTCATTTTTGGGATCTTCACTATATAATTGGTTATTCATTTTTGGGATCTTTACTATATAATTGGTTAGACCAAAAAAAGGAACTACAATGGAGACTATAGCTAAGTTTAAGGATCCGCAAACAGCAGCTGCTGGTAGCTTGTTCCGCCTCAGGCGGTGCAGGGGCAATTGTGTTTTTTTGCATTTGTTTTTATGCGAGGCCCGAAAGGCGTCTTGAAAGAAGCCAGGCATCGGCACCGATCGAAAGCCCAAGCCCCAAGTCAAAGAAGCCTCATCTCCGAAACCTACTTGGAGGGTCGGGGGACTTAGTAACTGGTTCTTCTAGGGACTTATAGGTACCATAACCCCGATTAGGGTCTCTTACAGGGTACTTCTAAGTCTTCTTACTACCTACTTACTAAGTCCCCCGACCCTCCAAGTATCTGAATCCTGGACGACCGTGTATAACTAGTACTTAGTACAGGTATCCCCGTTGTCATAGTCATAGTCCGTCGCCGAAAGCCTATTCGAGTTAGTGCACCCCCTATTCTAAACTGCATAACTCTGATCCCTAAACTCTAAAATCTAAAACTCAGTGTATGCCGTAACTACGGCTGAGCCTCTGCAGAAAAGGCCCATTGCACTTCCAAAAAAAAACTCTAAAACTCTCCCTAAAACCCAAACCCTCATTCCACTATGGGCTATTAGACCTTATGGGTACCTTAATCTACCCTTAATAGGGTCCTAATAGGGATCTTTAGGGTCTAATAGCCCATAGTGGTTGGACCCTGCACTCCCAAACTGTTGTCTGCCAGAGGTGGGACCGCCCCGTTTTGCGAAGGGTACCCACAAGCTGACGCCTCTGATGGATCCACCCCCGCCTTCTCAGGAGGGGCTGGGGTTAAATAGATGGAATTTAGTCAAAACCTTATAAACCCTAAACCCTAAACCCCTAAACCCCTAAACCCTAAACCCCTAAACCCCTAAACCCTAAAACCCTAAACCAAAACCATTGCAATCTGGCGACACAGCTCCAGGAGCCTCCAACCGTCCGTGCCTTCTGCCCTGCCGGGTCGGCCATCATCATGGACATGCGGGCGCGGTTTAGGGCTTGGGGTGAAGAGGTTTTAGGGTTTGGGGCGATTAGGGCAATCAGGGTTTCGGGTTTAGGGCCTAGGGTTTAGGGCTTCGGGGTTTTGGGTTCAGGGTTTAGGGTTTGGGGTGTTGGGACTTGCCTGGATACTGCAACTCCATGACTCCATGAAACTGCCTTTTGTTATGGCCTTTCATTATGATGTTGTTATCAAGAGTCCTGGAAAGGGCATGATATTGGGGGTTAAGGTAGAGAGTAAGATTTCGGCTCGTCCTCAGAAAGCCTCAAAACGTTAAAGCCCAAGCTTCACAAGATCCATAGAAGACCAGATCGGCTAATCCTTAAACCCTTGAATCCCTTAACCGTAAACTTCATGGTTCCTAGGCCTTTAAACCGAAAGACTTAGTTCTTAGTTCTTGAGCCTACCAGGCCTCCTTTGTTACCCCGTATTACTGAGTTGGTTTCGAACCTCCCCTGGACATGCAGATATTGGTTTTGGCTGTTCTTTCGCAGTAGAGCTGGTAACCTCTAACCTTGCGGCCCCTATATAATCCCAAAGCTTAGCCATTAGTTCTCCTGAGATACAGGACGAGTACGTTTTACTGTGAAGTGTGGAATGAGTCCGACACTGCTTTTTCTCTCTTGGTTTCTATCTGTGCATTTTGCAAAATCATCAGGGTCGTCCGCACGGTTTCTTCTTGGCGGAAAAACCTGGGCTTGCTCCATGCATGCGCGCGCGATGTCAACCTTTAAAAGTTGGAGCCGCATGAAGACAAGGACAGCTCCTTCAAGAAAGCCTATGCAGCGTAGCTTCATGGCCGAACATATTGTGCCGTGCATTCTACTCACACGCACATGCGCAAAACATACGCACTAACAGGCACAAACACACACACAGACACACACGAACAAATATATATATATATATATATATATTATATTATATATATACACATATAATTACATATACATATACATAGATTTTCTCTCTCTCTCTCTCTCTCTTTGTATCCCTCGATGCGCATATAGTCAATAGTGTTCTCTCATCCCTAAGTCCTTCATCGGAAGCAGGTGTGGCACGGAGGCACTGCGAATCTGTCTGCCATGGCGCGACCCATGCTGTCGGCTCTTTGGCTTCACTTAAAGGTACTTAGAAATATTTTTAATTGTTGCTTATTATAATCCCTAAGAAACAGCTAAAATTATAATTGTTGCTAGGGTTCTAAGTTCAGTATAGGTTTCAAAGCCGTTAAACCCGATGCTTCCAAACATTATCCATCTGAAATCCTAGTATTTACCAGGACCCCCTCCGCCCCAACTTAGTGCCCCTGCATGGAGCCCTTATGGACCATAATTGTGGGTATTTAGGGTATAGTAGAGGGTAGTTGGGGGGTATTCATACTGGTATGAGTGTTGCAGCCGTGCCTCTCGGTGCACCAGGTCCACTATGCTGGGCCAGCATACAGCGAGGACGTGCTCAAGGACTTAGCAGGGAGAAGCAGGGGGGTTCTTGCGGGTAGGATGGAGAATAGGTTTCGGGTTTTCGGGAGTTTGGGGTTGAAAGTTTAGCAGGTTTGGGGTTTGGGTTTAGAGATTGTAGTTTCAGGGCTTGATAAGTTTAGTAGGCTAAGGGTGTAGGGTGTTATCAACCACAGTACATGGCATATTGAGACCTAGAGTGAGAATCGTTGGGTGTTGCTGCTTGATTTGCTTTGGGTCTTCGGTGGGTCATGGGAGGAAGTTGATGCTGTAATTATCAACATCTTCACCATCGTGGCTTGATTATCCAGATCTGCGTCCGAACAATTGGCACGATTGTTTCTGTCAGGTGGGTAGTTGTCAAAATTATGGCTCCTTTTGGGGTACCCTAAATATTAGGTGCCATATTATAAGAAGGACCCAAAAAGGGACCGTAATTCTGACAACCACCCAGGTTGCGAGGAGATAGGCGCTTCTGTTGTAATTCAGGGGACCTGGTATAGGCTGTATGGGACTTTCCGAAAATCAAGAAAATAAGGGACCCGAATACAGTACCCTAAATAGTAGGATCCTGATTATAAGGACCCCAAAACAAGGTTCCTTTAATTTTCGGAAACTCCCATTTGGGCAGGATCCTGATTTCCGGGACCCAGCAGATAAGGTACGTACCCCTGTGTTGATGAACCTCTTCATGGTGGACATGACTCCTGCAAACCGCTTCTCCAGCGCCAGAGAAAGTTGTTTATCGGCCCGCCCTCATACAGAGGATTCTAAACCCTAAGCTCTAAACCTTAAAGCCTAAACCCTAAATTGCTAACCCGTCATACCCTAAACCCTACACCTACAGAGGATCCTGTGCTTATGTTTCTAGATCTCGGTCCGAATCATAGGGATCCTTAGGGGTGTAAGGGGAGGGGGGGTAGGGGGCCTTAAGGCCCATAATAAGGACTAATAAGGCCTATTTAAGGAAATATAGTCCCCTACACCCCTCCCCCCTACACCCCTAAGGATCCCTATGACCGAAAGATTGCGACGCTCCAAGATGTAGAAGCAGGGTGGACTGCTGGTCACCGTCATCCACATTGAATGCAACTCATGCAGCCTATTGGGTATCCCGCATGTCCGCTTCCAGGACCAAAGCCACTGAAACTTGGAGCTAGATGGGCGGCTCTAGTGCATAGAATGACAGGAGAATGTGCCCCAAATCCTATTCAAATGACCAACTGGGAGGTTCATGGGTAGTTATCCCATATCAGGGGACTTACAACCACACTTATAGCTACCCATGAACCTCCAAGAAGGGCAGTTATCAAGAATAGGGGACCCTAAAAACACTTCCTCATAGTAGGATCCTTACTATAAGGACCCCAATATAAGGAACCCCTCAATCTCCAAATTATCAAAGGCCTTATCGTAGAATCTACGAGCGATTGCAGCCCTTCTCGAGGATGGCGGCAGCATCCCGCTGCTTGGCACACACGTGGCTAGGGTTCAGGGGTTTAGGGTTAAGGTTCGGGTGGGGTTCCGGGTTCATGAGATCTCCACTTGGAGGTTCATGGGTAGTCATAAGTGGGGTTTTAAGTCCTCTAATTACCGGTTATAATCACAGCTACCCTACATATAACACCACTTATAACTAACCATGAACCCCCAAGCACTTCGGGCATCAAGTGCTGCAAACGTCTGGTGAAGTTGAGTTTTGCGATTGGCGCGGTGTGAGAAGAGATCTGTATGCAATGCTGATGCGCCCGAAGCTGATCTAGAGGCTACACATCCCGAACCTCGAAACCGAAATCTAAACCCGTAACCCCTCTAGTATTGCTGTTTCCTGCTTTGTGTTGCTGTGCTGGGCCGGATCGAAGTCTTCTGACCCTGAACCCTCTCGGAAAAGCGTAAACTCCAAACCCTAAAGCACATACCTCTGAGCCCTTGAACCCTTAACACTAAAACAACAAGTGCGGCACAACAAGGTCGTTTGGGACTTGCTACTGGTGCTACCACCGCGGTGCCGTGTCGGCAGCGGATATTCAGCAGCTGTCTCCCCGCGGTGCCTTGACAACAACATGGGCTCAGGACTTAAAGGAAGGGAATCGCAGTAACAACTGCAGCCTTGTTTCCGACAGAGCAAATCAAGCCGCAAACAAATGCACATTCCTACTGATGGGTGTCAATACAGCGTGGATAGCTGCTTTGACCGAGGACTGCTAGGTTTGGTGTTTTGGGGTCACTTTGAAGTACTAGAGCAACAGCTATGCATAAGGAGCCAGACCATTGCCTCAAGGCCCTAGCAAGCAATTTCAACAATCATTAAGAAATATAGCCCCCGGACTAATAAGCCCCCTCCTTCAAACTGGTATTAAATTTGACTCCGATTTTAACTCATATGCATATATACATACATATATACTTATATACATCTGTTTATGAATTGATAGTTAACTGTCTGTGTGTGTGTACGTATATATATATATATATATATATATATATATATGTAATCAAAGCATTGTTCTACACTTTCCTGGAGGGTAGTAGGGATTCCCACTACACCCAAGAAACATAACAAAACACTCTTGTCAATAAGAACAACAATAGCCCGAGACACGGAATCCACGCCGAAGCCCTATCCGGAGAGCCCAATACCCCTGAATTAAGCAAGAGACCTTTAACCATGATATTAAGGCCCCTGTAATTCAATGTAACTATAGTTCTCAATGAAGGTGTAATTATTCGGCTCTCTGGGTACAGACGAACCCAAAGTGGCCAAGGTACCTATATAGTAGAATGTAGGGTTTCTATATAAGGAATTACTATTGTGAGTTAGGGAAGTATCCCCCATAACAGTATCTGGGACCCTTTGAGAAATATCATGGGACTATAGTTATAACTACTTATAACCCCAATTAAGGTACTTCTAACCTTACTTACTAAGTCCCCCGACCCTCCGAGTACAGACAAAGAGGCCGGCAGCTTTGCCACCATCTGGTGGTCCCCGAGGCGCAGGTGTACTGCGCGCAGCACGGCAGACACAGTTCCAATGTAAACCCAGGAAAGCTCTCATATGGGGACCTAAATAATTACCTATACTATTGTGGGGGTTCGGTATTATGAGTATAGTATAATGGGCCCCAAAACCCTATTCTAATTATTAAGGCCCTCATGTTAAGCCGCAAGTGCTTTTAGGATGTGGTCTTCAGGGCTCGAGGTTTGCAGGGGTGGGTGTTTGGACGGCCTGCGTCTGGTTCTAGAGATTCTAAAGGGGTTATAGGGTGTGCAGAGTCTAGAGGATTTAAAGCCGGGATGTAGGAGTTTTGAGCTCCGGGTTCCTTCAGTCAGGGTTTAGGATTAGGGTTCCTGCTCATTGACTCATGGGTGACATGAGTTACTATTAGAGGCTTTGCGAATGTAATACTTGTCCTCAGGGCGGCCATACAGTTCGGGAAGGCGCGCCCTCCACGCCGCAACAAAAAAGCGCTCAAACATACCTCCGAATTCCGGATTCAAAAGCAGACTCGAGGCCCAAAACCCTTTGAGTGGACCCCACGCCCTAAGCCCTTTAAGTGGACCCCAAGGCCCTAAACTCTCTACCGGGACCCCAAGGCCCTACACCCTTTGAGTGGACCCTACGCCGTAAGCCCTTTGAGTGGACACTAGGCGCCCATTGCCTTGAAGACCCTAAACCCAAAGCCGTAAACCCTCACTGACCTCTAAACCCCTTTAAGTGGACCCTAAGCCCTACCTTAGGGTTTAGGGTTTAAACCCTCAACCCCTAAGTAGACCCCAAACCCTAAGCGCCTCAAGAAAGGCAGTGCTCTGCCCCAGCACATCCGGGACGTTCTGCTCTGCGCAGCATCGGGGGTGGGGCCGGCGGACCTTGGTCCCTCGGATGGTTTCGGGGTTTAGGGGTTAATGTAGAAACCTGATTAAGAAACCTTGTGCCTTTATTAGGGTTCCTTATATGAATTCTACTTTTTGGAGATATAGGCCCAGGGTTTCTTAATCAGGTTCCTACATTATATGGGTTTAGGACTTTTTCTGGTTTTATGGTTTCGCTTGTCAATATCCGAAGGGAGTAGAGCAGGGGTTTGAGGGTTCAGGGTGGCGGGGTATTTAATAGCTGAGGGATAATACTGCCCCCTATAAAACTAAAAGTGTAGACCTTTTGGGGGCTTACTTGGAGGGTCGGGGGACTTAGTAACTGGTTATTTTAGGGACTTATAAGTAACTTACAAGTCTTCTTACTACCTACTTGCTAAGTCCCCCGGAGCTCCAAGTATGAACTCAGCAACTACGGGTACTTCATGGGTTCGGGGCCTCGTAGCTTGATTGGTTTGGGGAATTGGGAGGTTCTTGCATGCTTGAAGGATCAAAGGACTGAGTATATAGGTAATAAGCAGACTTATAAGTACCCTAAAAAGGGCCCTAATTTGGACCCAATTGGGGTTATGGTACTTATAAGTCCTTAAAATAGCCAGTTACTAAGTCCCCCGACCCTCCAAGTGGGGTCGCAGTGCCCGAACTGAAAGAATTACTCATACGGTTTAGGTTTAGGGTTTAGGGTTTCAATCCCGTGTCAATGCCCTCAACATTCTACAAGCTTAACACGAAACCCCAAAACCAAACACTTGCCACCTCGGCGAGTGACGAGTGGATGCAGCTCTACCATGCAAGGCTTTTGATTTAAAGGACGCTCAAGATCCAAGCCGGTGAGAGCCGGAATTCACCCACGTTCCTAAACCCGAAGATCCCTAAACCCTAAACGATAAACCCCTAAACCCTAAACCCGAAGATCCCTAAAGCCGAAACCCTAAGCCCTAAACTCTGCCTAAACCCTAAACCCGAAGATCCGATACCCTAGAGCCAAAACACAGGCACCGTCGGCCGGATCGGCCTCCGCACTCTGCAGCAAGGAAAGGGCGCGGCAAAAGAATAAGAAACCCCAAATCGTTAATTCCCTAAACCCTAAACCCTTAAACCCTAAACCTTTAACCGTTAACCCTTAAGCCCCAAACCCCTAACCGCCAACCCTTGAGTCTCTATTGTCTTAACCCTAAACTCTTAACCCTTAAATCCTTAAAACCCTCAACCGGAAGCTCCAAAGCGCACCTCAAAGCAGAGAAGTCGAGGCTCTGCCTGCGTTGCTGGGCGGCTCAGAAGCACAGCCTCTTCCCTGCCTAGGACCCGTCCGAAGCAGGGGTTTCGGGTTTAGGGCTTTAGGTTAGAAGGGGCCCCCCACCCTCTAATAGTGCTATAATAGGAATATAATAGGGATGATAGGGCCCTGATATAGTCACTGTTACAGGGTGGGGGCAGCTTGTAAGGTTTAGGGTTTTAGGGTTGCAGACTTGGAGGGTCGGGGGACTTAGTAACTGGTTATTTTAGGGACTTATGAGTACCCTAACCCCAACTAGGGTCCCTTTTAGGGTACGTATAAGTCTACTTACTACCTACTTACTAAGTCCCCCGACCCTCCAAGTAGGGTGTAGGGTTGCAGAGGGACTTCAGGGTTCCAGGGTTGAGGATTTTCGGCTGAAAAGTGTTCCTTGAAGGATATCTTTGCGGCTTGCTTAGAGGGTTCTATAATTATATAATTAATTACATTTGGTACATTTGTAATTAAATATATCAGGCAATAAGGGGCCCTTGTGGGTCCTGGTAGAGGTTTTGAGTTTAGAGTTTATAGGGCTCTAGTAAAGCAAATGACATCAATATTGCCATGGTTTCTTGGAGGTTCCTTCTGCTTGGCACACTGTATCAAGGCTTTCGGATGTGTGAGCTGGTGCAATGTCCGCAGGTCTTGCAGTGTTAAAAAATCGGGTCTTCAACCTAGATCAACACCCAAAGCCATGCAACCCTGACACGCTGAAACCCCTAAGCCCTGAAACGCTGGAATGTCCCATTGGGTCCGAAAGCTTCAGCTCAAGCTGCATCAGATAATTGGCTTTAGGGTTCATGGTCCGTGCACTGAAACCCCCAAAGTCCTCAAACGTGTCTTGTACGAAGGCCTTCTTAGAAGGGTTTTCTTAGCCTTCTAAGCGTATTCTTTTTGTGATGCAAGGCATAATCGTTAAAGAATACTTTAGTTTTGAGGTACTTAGTTACTCTTGCTAAACCCTGAACCCGCTAAACCCCAAGCCCTGGACCCCCTAAACCACCTCAAACCCCCGAAACAGCCATACCCCCTAAACCCTAAACCCCAGTAACTGCCTATAGTCTCCATTGTAGTTCCTTTTTTGGGATTTCCTTATAGGATCCTCAATATGTAAATGGTTAAACCAAAAATAGGAACTACAATGGAGACCCTAAACCCTAAACCCTAAACCCAAAAATAGGAACTACAATAGAGACTACAGGTAGGTCTCTCTGAAGTTTGAGGCCACCTTCTGGATTGGATCCTTAGGTCTGAGTCTCACGTTTGGGTCTGCAGGCTGCAGTGGTGAGGTGTCCGTTTCCATTGAGTTCCCTGCAGCCAGCCCGTCTTCTGCGTTTAAGTTACATTACGTGTATCATTACATATTACACATGTATACATGTAAGTTTATATATATATATATATATGTATATAATATATAATATATATATATATATATATATATATATGCGCGTGTCCCTTCTCTTTGTGCCCTTCATCCACTCGCCGATTTGACATCGGCACGTACAGACGCCTCAGCCACTCCGACCTGTTCTTTGCCGATCGCCCGCCTGCAGGAGTTCCGCCGACAATGACACTGCACATGGATGAGAGGCAGCGAAGGCACCGTGCGGAAATTCATTGTGGTTTGATGGTGAAGTGGTGTCTGCATCTACCTGAGATAGTCGTCCAGGACAGGGTCTCTCCTACTGTTGATGAGATAAATCCGGCACTACCTTAAGGACCCTTAACTACCGGAATCATGGTATATTCCGTATTATTATGGGTAATGCAGGATTTATATCCCTAAACCCTAAACCCTATAGATCCCTTAAAGGAACCCCTTGAAGGAACCCCTTATTATTATGGGTAATGCAGGATTTGTACCCCTAAACCCTAAACCCTATAGATCCCTTAAAGGAACCCCTTGAAGGAACCCCTTATTATTATGGGTAATGCAGGATTTATACCCCTAAACCCTAAACCCTATAGATCCCTTAAAGGAACCCCTTGAAGGAACCCCTTATTATTATGGGCAATGCAGGATTTAGAGAATCATCAACCGCAGGGCCATCACCCTAGGCCCCAGGCCCGGTTTTGGATATGCAAGCATTCAGAAACACGCTGATGCTACGGTTGATGATATGAATCCTGGGGTTCCTTTAAAGGGATCTATAGGGGGTACCTTTAAGGGGTTCCTTTGAGGGATCTATAGGTTTAGGGTTTAGGGATATAAATCCTGCATTACCCATAATAAGGAATAGACCATAATTCCCATGGTTTAGGGTCTTTGGGGTAATGCAGGATTTATATCATCAACAGTAGCATCAGCTTTCCCACCCAGGAGATGACGGAGTATGGGAATCGCCGCCAGCGTGACGAGACCTGCTGCACTTAATGGGTTTCGGGGGCCTGGCCCCGGGGTCCCGGCATCTGTGGCCTCATAGTCTTGCAGTTGCCGCCATGAAGTCTTAAACCCAGAGACTCCCATCTCCCTTAATTAACGAAAAACCCTTGAATGATAGTAGGACCCCTTATGTATGATTCAAGGCATATATATATATATATATATGTGTTTGTATGTGTGTGTATATATATATATATATATATTCCTTACTTAAGGGATATCAGAGTCTCTGGGAATGCTGTCATCCAGCTGCTGCAAACAACCTGAGGTCCACAGGTGGAATTCGAGGTTTGCAGAACCGCAAACCTCGAAGCCCTGACAGGCTGACAAGCTCCAAGCGCCAAACCGCTAGTAGTAGTAGTAGTAGTAGTAGTAGTAGTAGTAGCAGCAGCAGTAGTAGTAGTAGCAGTAGTAGTAGTCGTCGTAGTAGTCGTAATAGTCGTAGTAGTCGTCGTCATCGTCGTCCTTGTCGTCGTCGTAGTGGTAGTAGTCGTCCCACTGCTGCCCTGATATCTCAGGCTTGCCACGATCCCCCTCAGCCTCAGGGGTTTGTCCGGTAAACCCTTACTAAATCCAAAACCCCTACACCCCAAAGCCTGCACCCTAAACGTCGGTAGACCACAGGAAGCCGGGGAAGAGTCCAACCCGGTCTTGACTTCGAAGAAGCACGCGCTCCCGCCATCTGTGAGATTCAGTTGTTGCAGGCGCTGGGAATTGATCTAAGGCTTTCGGGAGATTCAGGTTTAGAGTTCTAGTCTCACTTGTCAGGTCCATTTTTGGGCGGTGCAGCTTTCTAGCAATGCTCCTACAATGAAAACAAAATAAGAAAAGCATTGATCATGGAGACTATGGCAGGTACTTGCCTAACGCCGAGATCCTGAGATGCTAGCCTTCACTGCATTGAGCATGTTCGGGCGTTTATTGCTCTTCTTTCTTCAAGCCTTAACCCTACACCCTAAAAGAATCCCTTGTCCAGGGGTGCAATGCGAGAAACTATCGAACCTGGGGTCGGGAAGGTTTAGGGTTTAGGTTCGATCTGTCAAAGCAACGGTTAAATGCATCGCTATCGACGTCACTCCTCTTGGTTCGAGTCTTCAACAGGCAGTCGGCTTGGGATGCGAGCAACTTGAAGCCGGTGGTGCGCAGGAGGTTGATGCTACGTTGTCCACTCGTGAGGCCAGACGCAACGCCGCGTGGCACTATAATGGTGCAGCGCATGCCACTGCAGGGTACTTCCGCTCTGGTCTCCACGGGCAAGTGAGAGAACTTCAGCAATGGACTTATTTGGCTGAAGAGGCACTGCGCATGTTGACGTGACAAAAATTCCAGCCGCCAGTGCACATCGAAAGGGCCTTGATCGAGAGCGACAAAATCTTGCGCACCTGGAGGTGAGAGCTCCTGGCAACGCATGGCTAAGACGTGTCGTAGATCATAGTCCCCTAAGAATTACAGCTTTGCTGAGTTTTCTGCCCAAAAAACCAATATAAGTCGTTAGGGTTCCTGGTTCTAAGTCCGCATCTCGAAAGAGGCGGCTAGCTTCGATACCAGAAATGGTATTGCTCAGCATCAAATTGCCGATGCGTGTTCTTAACCTTTTTGAAGCTTCCACCTCCTTCAAATCTGTTTGGTGCTTTTTCGAAGGCAACATGGCTCTGGACTGCAACCGATATAAGGAGTCAATTAAACAAAGACTCCTGGCGACTGAGCTGGGCTTTTGTATATGAGGAGATCGCTTATTTTTCGGTTTGTTCTGAGGAGGGTCCACCTCCTGCAGATGAGCCGGAGGCCTTGTTGCATCATGATCGATTTAAAGAAACAAAACTTATAAAAGTTGGAGGCAAACGGCTGCAGCGAACACCAATTAAGTACACAAAGACAGTGGCACATGCAGCATGTGCATGCAAAATCTGGGGATTTTTTTTGCCTGGCAGCGATCGTCCATGCATGCCGCCGCTCCTTTGTTCAAAAACCAGGAACCTTATAAGCAAGACCTAGTACTGCCTTCACTCGTTCATCGTCTTCAACTTCTTGATGACTCTGCCAGCAGCATCCACGTGCACACCTGCCTGCGTGTTAATGTCCTTGGCCTGCTGGACCGACTCCTCGCTCCCGACGTCCAGGGCATCGAGCTTTGCAAAGTCCTCCCTCAAGGTGACCAGGAAGTTGTCGAGTGGTGTGAGGGCAGGCCCTTAGTGTTCGCGAAAACCTGGAGATCCTTGATCGTGCTCAGGTTTCTCTCGACAGCCTTTTTCCCGGGGTTCATGGTCTGCAGCTCTTGCCTCAAGGCAACCAAAAGGGGATCCCGGACCTCGATTGAAGGCTGATTGGGGCTGTCCTGCAGGGCCTGCTTCTTCTCCTTGTCGTTCAGGTTGTACCCGGCCTGCATCGTCTCTTTGTGACGAACTGTGTCCGTTGTCGTTGTCATCTTGGTTTTGCCGTAGTGGTAGCGACGTTCCCCGGCTTTCGCAAGGGCTCGCTCACGATTATCCTCTTGGTTCCATTCCTCATCCCAGGGGATTTCCTCGAGGATGGACTCCCAAAGCTTCTTCTGCTCGGGGATCTGAAGGTTCAGGTTCTCCTGGTCGGCGATCTCCCAACCTCGGATGAGAAGCCAAGCATGCCCATCCTCTTATTATGTATGCCTGCATGTTCCATATATTCTCTAAAACAAGAAACTACAGTATATACAGAGCTATGCGATCTATAAAGACATATACAAACTTCTTCTGACCCCACACCGCAACCTTTTCATCCTCTTGTATACAGCCAGGAGAGCATGCATATGGTTGGCTACTTGATGCTCGAGATCGATGCTATAAGTGCATGGAATCCCACCAGAACAATTAAGGAGGCTGCAACGAACCTACCTTGCAACCTCCTTGTATTAATTGCTAAGACTTACTTAGTCTCTCCTGATCGCCCAATCGATCTGTTCGGCTCTTTCTTGCGAATTGTTCTTAGGAGTTCCGGAGAACTCCTGTGGACTTCAATTGATTAGTTGCATGTGTATATATATATATACATAAACACACACTGTATTCGAAACAACTTGCAAGGCCAAGGCACGAGACAAGAACCCACCCACCTTGCTGGCGGTGGTCGCCTTGTCGCTCTCCAGGGACTGGATCTTCTCGGCCCACATCTTCCCTGTCTTGTCTTGCTCCCAGGAGGAGAGCATTTGCATCCTTTGCTCGGTGGCATTCCGAGGCAATTGGCAATAGTCGTCGTAGAATTTCTTCTTGCTTCTGAGCTTGCCGACTTCCTCTTCGCTGAGAGTTGCTTTGCCGCTGTCGTGATCCTCCAACTTCTTCACTGCATTCTTGCATTGTGTTACCAGGTTGCTGAGTTTGCCCTTGACAGGGTCCTTTGCCTTCTCAGAGGCGTCGCCTTGTTCAGCACCCGGCTCGACTTTCACGGTCACGGGCACCGGCTGCGTTTTGGCCTTCGCTGCCGTGGGCTTAGCCTTGGCCTTGGCCTTGCTCGCCCCGGTTTTGGCCTTGGCCTTCGCCGTGTGTCGGGTAACCCCCATGACCAAAGCGGTCAAGGGCAGGAGGCTCGCCATGATACTTATTGCGAGCATCCTCAGAAAGTTGGTACCTGTAGAAGGGTGAGACTTTAAGCTAAAGATCTGAGCACTGGCAAGTTTTAGGTACGGGGAATGCAGCAAATGCAGCACCTCAATATGCATGTCACTTGCAAATGCAGCCATTGCAGGGCAAGCTCCCATTTCTTCATAGCATATTATATGTACATGCCATGGATATGACATCTTGCCCTCTAGCCCCGGCGACTCTTGCGGAAGCATCGGGTGCAATTGTGGTGCTTGCGCGGCTCCAGGCCTCGAGTGCACCATTGCTCCCTGCACTGGTGACACCTCTGTGGACAAGGATCCTGAGCATGGGGTGGGGGCGGTGGGGCTTCCGGAGCAGGATTAAACGGCTCTCTTGGGCCGTCTATCTCCACCAACAATCGCCCGATAAGTGCCCTTTGCTCGGCGGTGGGACCCATCAGGAGAGCTCGAAATCCAGCCTCCTCCGGCATCACCACCGTCGTGGTGGTCCTGGCGACGCATAAGTGCAGACATTGGAAAGAAGTGGGGATTTAACTCCATTTAACTGGGCATTTAACTTGGGCTATTCATAATTTCTTTGAAAGAAGACAAAGTTAAATCCCAGTTAAATGGAGTTAAATTTCTGACTCTTTCAAAAATTAGAAATCGGAACGGGCAAAAAGCGCCTGGTCGAAGATCCTCCGGACATCGGTGTTGCAACCTCGGCAGCAGGCAGGCTGGGCCATTCTGATTCCGGTTATCCGGGTTTGTAAATAATATATATATATATATATATATATATATATATATATATATATACATATATAGGTTTAATTTAAATCTCCTCGACGATCCAGGAGACTAGGAGGTTTGCCTCCTGCTGCCACAGCAGCCGCCACCCATTGTCAGGCAAGCATATCACTTGTTTGCATATGATGTTACATATATATATATATATATATTATATACATGCACTAAATAAATTAACATATATTAATATGTTTGTAGTATCTTAAATATCATTTAAGGTTGAGGGTTTAGGGTTTAGGGTTTGAAGGATATATATATATATATATGTATATATATATATATAGGTCCAGGAGGAACATTGCATGCATGTTGCAAGCAATTGCACTCTCCTCCTACAGCTGAAACAAACATGTTGACAGATCCCGGGACCAAGCTCTTGTGCAGGAGACCCGGGCGAGCCTCCTTTCCAGAGCTGTGTAGGATATGTACCTGCATGCATCCATGGTGCATGAATGCAAGGCATGCAGCCGACTCCTTTAGCCAACAGGAGTGCAAAGCATGCAACTCCTAAGGAGTCTTTTGACCCGGAGCTCATACGATCGATCGTGCCTCCTGTGCATTACACAGTCAGCATTGGGATCATTGATCCACCGCCTGCACCGCCAAAACCTGGGCCATTATTGTCTGGGTCAGGATCATTGCCATCGGGGCCCTTCGAACCCGGGAGGGGTTCGTTCTCATGCTCCGGGGCCTCACCATCCTTCTCTTCCTCCTCGCCATCCCCCTTTGCCTTGGACCATTTATTCTTTTGGCGATCCGCCCACCATGCTTTGCGTTTGAGACCTCAGCTGGAGACACACACAAACATGCATGGAAGCATCTATAGCACAGACATCAACATGCATGCATAATGCAACACCAGCCACCCTTGTTCTTCTTGCGGCGCTGGTTCTGCACATACCATGCCATATCCGAGCTGGAGGTGATCTCCCTCCCTGCCCACGTCTTGGCAACATTCAGGTCCTTCACGTCGACGTAGGTCAACTGCAGGGCTCGATGATTTTAAAATTATAGTTATAACCAAACCATGAGAAACAGCTATAATAAATGCCTCCGAGGATCACGGCAGCTTTCATTGAGGCAGATACCCTTCCGCCAGTAGGACACTTGCTTGCAGAAGTTACAAAACCTCAACTTGCTGTCCTCACGGCCAGCTGGGCTTTGCCACGGGCCGGCGGTGGGTGGCATGGGCGGAAACGGGGGTGGGGCTGGCACGGATCCTGTGTTGGGTGCAGCAGGCTGGGGCGGCGTCTGCTGCAAGGCCTCCACGGCCGTGCTCAACCTGTTAACCGCCTGGAGGATATCACCGCTGTTGCTTGCAGCGGCACCCATGATCGCGAGGGAAATGCAGGTGGGCCCCTTGATAGCAAAAGCTCACGGGGTGCGGAATCAGGATGCATGTGCCATGCATCCTATATATGTATACAGCCTGCAACCCCTGCGGAATCCAATGCATGCATCATAGGAGGACTAATAGTCCTCCTAGAAACATCCAACCTGAAACTGATGGAAATCCAACTTGAACATCACAGGAGGACGACAGTCCTCCTTATAACCCTGAAACATCAAACCTGAAACTGCAACCGATTCCTGAAACATCAAAGCTGAAACTGACACTTAACCCTGAAACATGAAACCTGAAGTTGAAACCACTCTGACAAAGACCCTCCGAACCTGCAAGCCCTCATGCACTTCGCAAACACTGGGAGGGCACCAGCCGGAAGTGAAGCGGCAGCTCGAAGAGATCTGGCCGTGCCTGCAGCGGGTCATGCACATCATGCTGCATCCTCTTTTGAAGCTCTTGGGTGCATTAGGAGGACGTAGCAGCCAGCCAAAAGCGCATTAATTCGTGACTCCTCGACCAGACAAGAATCCCCACTTATGTTGCCATCCCAAACTACAGAATTATGTAAAACATGGCAGTCGATGCAACTGAACAGGAACACTGGGTTGGGCACCGGCCGGAGAAGACCCGGAAGAGAAGCAGCTTGTCCAGGACGTCGACGGCAGTACCTGCAGAGACGAAACATGTATACAGAACTGACATGTTGACATGAGAGCAGAAGCAGAAGGACAGAAACAAACATGCATGCACTGATAACCCTCGTGTCAAGCATGGCACCTTTTTCCTAGCTCAAACCCTCTAAATATTTAAATATCACTCCGACACGTAGCCGGCAGCCGTTGCCGCGGGACGGCTGCGATATCGCGAGTTCTGGGGCGACGCCAGGATGAAGTAGGTCCCTTTCTGCTTGCCACCCCTCTGGAACAGCATCTTCTTCCACCCATTGGGCTTGTCCTGAATCTCCGGGCCCCCCTTCTCCTCTTCATTTCCATTTCCATTTTCATCTCCAGCCTCCGCCGCCTCAAGAGCGGCTGGCTTCTTGAGAATCTCACCCTCCGCCGCCTGAAGAGCGGCTGGCTTCTTGAGAATCTCACCCTCCGCCGCAAGAGCGGCTGGCTTCTTGAGAATCTGAAGGGCCCGAATCTCAGGATCGTCCTTGGCACTGCGAACCTTGGCCTTCTTGGATCCGCCCTTGGCTTTGGAACTCGACTTGGCCTCAGCTTCATCAGGCTCCGGATCGGTCTTCGTCGCCACCTCGCCGCCCCCATGCTTGACCTCTGCCTCGGCCTTTTGCTTGGGCTTGGCTTTGGCCTTCGCCTTGGATTTGCCCTTGGCTTTCGGAGCCGACTTGGCCTTATAGGCTTCGTGTCGCCCGTGTCCTTCTTCTTGTTGTTCTTCTTCTTCTTGCCAGCCTCCTTGTCCTCCGTCTCGGTGAGGCCTCGGGAAGACAAGGGCTCAAGGGCTGCAACAGGCCTGGCCAGGATCTCGTCATGGTGTCGAAGCACACGGTCTGGAACACCTGGGCGAGCATGGCCTGGCTCCTCATGCATTTCGCCGCTCTTGTCGACTGTCTTCCATGTGCATGCTTTTTGATCGAAGAACGTCACAGCAGCATCAGGCTGATCATTTGGAAGAGGCTGGACCTCCTCACTCGAGCTTATCTGCTCGATCTCCTCGGGCTCCTCCAAGCCGCTCGCTGCAGAGCTTCTGTGCTCCATCTTCTCGGGCTCGCCGGTTAAGCCGTACATCGCGAAGATGTCAGCAGCGGACTGTTTTCCGGTGGACGACACTCCGCTGCTGGAAGCTGCCTCGGGGACGGCAGCAGCAGCAGCAGCAGCAGCAGCAGCAGCGGTTGCTGCTCGAGATCTGCTGGGCCTGGCAGCAGCCACGGCGTGTGCGGCTACTGCTGCTACGGTGGGCTTCGCACCCTTCCATATATGTCCCAATTGGAACTTTTGTTCTGCAGCCTTATTTTTTCCAACTTTTGTATGATGCGAAGCACCGAACCATGAGTGCGAACTCCTGTCGAGACGCTTTTCGCCTTGATTCTACAAAACTGGACCGCTGCCGCTAGCTGTCTGCCGAAAAAAGAAGCTTCACTGGGACCCGTGGCCTCGAAAGCCTTGAGGCAAGCCTTTTCAAGCAACAATTTCGTGGGCCTCGGGGTCAAGTCTAACAAGTCCAAGATGAAAGCTTCGTACGAGGAGCAAATCTTCTCACAGTCTGTTTCCTTGTACCCAGAGTGCAGGCTTGTGCAGCAGCCTCTCAAAGCTTTAGCAGCCTGTTCAACAGTTGCCGTGTTGGCAGCTCGGTTAGTGATCATGGTGCTCATGAGCCAAAATGCTTCACAAGCACTTCACAAGCACATGTACATGAAAAAGTCTGCACTTAATCCTGCGAACATGCATGCCGTGCAGGAGGTCGCCTCCCAGTGGGAGACGTGGCCTCCTAAGAACTTGTGACACTCCATGCCATGCATGAATCCTGGCAGCCCGGCCTCCAGCAAAGCGGGCCGCCCACCAGATCTGTCCAAAAACTTGAGCCAACCGGCCCGGCGACACATGGCAGCGGTCGAAGGAAGACAAGCAAACCCTGCAAACTGCATGGCTGCACGCACGCATGCGGATAGAATCGCCATTCTATTTTGTGCCAAGCATGATCATGCACCTGAGGCGCATTTCTCTTCGGGCACTTGCTCTGATATCCTACTTATTGAGACCCAAGCTGGGCAAAGCATGCATGTTCTAATTAAGCCGCTTCGATCAATCCCCAGATCTTTTCCGCTTTCGCGGCGACTGCTGACCATCAGCTGCTTCCTCTTCTG